GTTTCCAGTTTTGTGAATGTAAATTCATGCTTCTTGGGACCTCCCAATAAGAAGAAAAGTGACTGCTAGTGCCTACCAGGTGTTTTTTGGGGTGCTGAAAAGTTCTAAAATTAGATTGTGGTAATGGTTATACAATACTGTGAATATACTAAACACCACTGAACTGTATATTTTAAGAAGATGACTTTATGATATGTGAAATATCATAAAGCTCTTTTTAAAAAAGGTTATGGACTCACACAATACACAATGTTTTAAGTAAGCTTATTTCATGGCATGGGCAAAATAGTGACAAAATGGAAAAGATTAAAGGACTGATAAGTAGTAAGTTAATATAGACTTTAATAATTAGCTTTACAATTCATGGCCTTAATTTGAGAATTAAGAATCGGGAATTTTGGAGGCAAAAGATGGGAGCAAGGTAGATGGGAACTGAACCCATTTGCTCGTGGACCCAACTAGGACACCAATATTCTGAAGACAGAGTGAACAGCCAACAGAATCCTAGTTTATATGAACTTTGGAAACCAGAGATTGCAGAGGACATTTAAAAACAGACACCTCTGAATACATTCAAGACATGGTGGGAGTTGTTGAATAACCAGTAAACCCACCAGAGAAGAGAACCCACCAACAAAGGAGCCACCAACAGGTAAAACCCAAATACAGTAAGAGAGCCCACACAAATGGAATAATGGACAACCCTAGAGCATCCAGACAAGGAAATCAAAGAGATCATAGCACTGAGTCCCACAGAACTCTTACCATAGAAGTTCATCCTACAAAGACAGTAAAGCAGAGCATCAGAAATCGCAGAAACAAACAAAAAGACTCACCTAAAAGGGGGAGACAAAGAAAGAAGCTGCAATTGAAAGAAATGGAAGACTCCCCACAAAAAGAGCTAAATGAAATGGAGGGAAGCAAACTATCACATATAGAATTCAAAAGAATGGTCATAAGTATGCTCAAGGAACTTACAACTACAAGAAACTGAGTGGGAACTACAACAGTATGAAAAAGGAAATAGAAACTATAAACAGTAACCAGAAAGAAATTAAAAAACAGTAGAAGGAATTACAAGCAGGCTGGATGAAGCAAAGGACTAAATTAGTGAGCTGGAAGATAAGGTAGAAACACCGAAGTGGAGCAGCTGCACCAAAAAGACTAAAAAAAATATGAAGATAGCTTAAGGGAACTGCAGACATGGAACACAACAACATTCAAATCGAAGGAATACCAGAAGGTAAAGGAAAGGAGCAAGGGACAGAAACCCTGTTTGAAAAAATAATGACAGAAAACGTTGCGAACTTGGAGAGGGGAAAACACACACAAGTTGAGGAAGCACAGAGGGTCCTAATCAAGATGAACTTACAGAAGTCTACTCTAAGATGCATCATAATTAAAATGCCAAGTTTTAAAGACAGAGAATCTTAAAAGCAGCAAGGGAGAAATGAGAAGTTAACATACAAAGGAACTCCAATAAGGCCAGCAGCTGATTTCTCAACAGAAACACTGAAAGCCAGGAGAGAATGGCAAGAAATATTCCAATGAAAAGCAAAGGCCTGAGACCAATACTACTCTACCCAGCGAGGCTCTCAATTAAAATGGAAGGCCAAATAAGGAGTTTTCCAGACAAAAGAAGGCTGAAAGAATATACCTTCACCAAACTATCACTGCAAGACATGCTAAAGGGACTACTATAAGAAGAGGAAGGAAAAGAGTGACAGAGAGAACACAAGTATAAAAAGGGTAAAATGACTAAGTACCTATCAATAATAACCTTAAATGTTAATGAATTAAATGTTCCAATCAAAAGACATAGGGTAGCTGAATGGATAAGAAAACATGACCCACACATGTACTGCCTACAAGAGACCCACCTCAGAAAAAAAGACCTACACAGACTGAAAGTGAAGGGTTGGAAAAACATATTCCAAGCAAATGGACAAGAAAAAAAGTTGAGGTAGCAATACTTAGACAAAATAGACTTCAAAGCAAAAGCCATAAAAAGAGTCACTGAAGGACACTTTGTAATACTTGAGGGAGGAATACATCAAGAAGACATAAACATTGTAAACATACATGCACCTTATATAGGAGCACAAATGTATAAGGAAAATCTTGGAGGACTTCAAGAAAGATATAGACAGCAATATACTTATACTAGGGGATTTTAACACCCCACTCTCCAAAATGGATAGATCTTCCAAACAAAATATCAACAAGGATATTGTGGCCTTGAACAATGCCCTAGATCAAATGGACCGAACAGGTATATATAGAACCTTTCATCTCAAAGAAGCAAAATATACATTATTTTCAAATGCATATGGAACATTTTTAAGCATAGACCACATTAGGACAAAATAAGCCTCAACAAATTCATGAAAATTAAAATCATATCATGCATTTTCTCAGACCAAAGAGCCTGAAACTAGAAACTAACCTAGAGGGAAAAACTCAAAAACACTCAAATTCATGGAGATTGAATAGCATCCTATTAAACAATGAATGGGTTAATAATGAGATCAAAGAAGAAATCAAAAAGTTTCTGGAAACAAATGAAAATGGACTCACAACAGTCCAAACCTTATGGGACACAGCAAAGGGAATCCTGAGAGGGAAGTTCGTAGTGATACAGGCATACCTAGAAAAACATAGAAATGTTTCAAATAAGACACCTACACCTTCAAGAACTCGAGGAACAATAACAAAGACAGCCCAAAGCAAGCAGAAGGAAGGAAATAACCACAATCAGAGCAGAATTAAATGACATAGAAACTAAAAGAACAATCCAAAGAATCAATAAATCCAGGAGCTGGTTCTTTGAAAAGATAAACAAAATCAACAAGCTTTTAAGCAGACTCATTGAGAAAAAAAGAGAGGACCCAAATAAACATAATCAGAAGTGAAAGAGGAGAGATTACAGTGGATACCACAGAAATACTAAAGATTGTAAGAAATTATTATGCACAACTTTATGCCAAGAAATTTGAAAATCAGGGTAAAATGGACAAATTTCTAGAAAAATAAAATCTTCCAAAACTGAATGAAGAAGAATCAGAAAGCCTGAACAGACCAATAACAACTGATGAAATTGAAATGGTAATCAAAAAAACTTCCAGCAGACAAATGCCCTGGACCTGATGGTTTCACAGGAGAATTTTACAAAACATTTAAGGAAGAGCTAACCCCTATCCTTCTCAGACTATTCCAAAAAAATCCAAGAAGAAGGAAGACTCCCCAACTCTTTTAGAAAGCCAACATCATCCTAATTCCAAAACCAGATAAAGACACAACAAGGAAAGAAAATTACAGGCCAGTATTGCTGATGATCATAGACACTAATCCTCAACAAAATACTGGCAACGATCCAGCAGTACATTAAAAAGATCATTACACCACGATCAAGTGGGATTCATCTAAGGGATGCAAGGATGGTATTCACAAATCAGTAAACATAATATATCACATAAACAAAAGGAAAGACAAAAATCACATGATCATATCAATACATATGGAAAAGCATTTGATAAGAGCCAAATCTTCAAAGGACTCTACTAACTCCAAATTTTTTTAGTATATAATTCTTTAATGGTAGTCTCTATATGTGCCATAGTATTGTGGGGGGAAAAAACTGTAAGCAATTATTTATTCTTACATCTGTTATTTAAGGCAGCCATGTAAAATAGATCCAAAAATAATGTAAAACTTCCATAATGAACTTGAGACTTAGCAGAAAATATTGACAACCACAGGCAGAATATAGGGGAACATAATATTGAGGATCCCACAGATCTGATTTGAATCCTAGCTCTTTCTTCTTTAGTTTCTGAACCCATAAGCAAATAAGTTTCTTGATCTCTCAGAATCCCTGAATGAAAAATGAATGAGTCTCTTTCTTTAAATAGGAAATTGAAGTATGAATATTTACAGGGTGGGATTGGTACAGTTTTCAATAATGAGATCATATAATTGACACATAGATAGTGCTCAGTTTTTTATACCTGAATAGATTTTGAATGATTGAAAAGAACTCAGTAATAGCATAAACAATAAAATATTTTTAAATAACTTAGATATGCCATATGAGTACATAGCAAACATTAATTATAAACTTACGGTATTTCATTGAAAGTAAATGTGTTTCATTTACTTGTAAGACTTTGATACTTGCATATGGAAAAAAGACTTAAATATAAGTTGCCATACCATAAAAGTCCTAGAGGAGAACATAGGCAGGAAAATCCGACATTCCAAGCAGTAAAATTTTCACTGATCTGTCCCCTAGAGCAAGGGACATAAAGGAAAAAATAAACAAATGGGACTTCATCAAAATAAAAAGCTTCTGCACAGCTAAAGAAAACAGTATTAAGAGAGAACCAACTGTATGGGAAGACATATTTGCCAATGATACCTCAGACAAGGGTTTGATCTCCAAAATATATAAAGAACTCTCACAACTTCACTTCAAGAACACAAACAACCCAATTAAAAAGTAGGAAAAGGACCTGAGCAGACACTTATCCAAGGAGGACATGCAGAGGGCCCAGAGACATGTAAAAAGATGCTCAGCATCACTCGCCATCAGACACATGCAAATTAAAACCACAATGAGATATCACCTCACACTCATCAAAATAGTCATCATAATCAAATGAACAAACAAGTGCTAGTGAGGGTGTAAGAGAAAAGGGAACCCTAGAGCACCATTGGTGGGAATGTAGACTGGTGCAGCCACTGTGGAAAACAGTGTGGCATTTCCTCAGAAAACTAAAAATGAAACTGCCTTATTTTCTATGAGTAAAATAAGTACCCAAAACTGCAGTGTGTTTTCATTAACAGAGAAATTGTTCCATGAATTGTGCTTCAAAATTTTTATGTTGATTGTTGAAAATAATCTGTTTTTCTTCACTATACATAATATATTTGAGTATGTGGATGTTTTGAGCAGACAGAAACATCCTTCTGCATGTGACATTATTGCTGTTTTCTTTCAGGAAACCCTGATAGATTGGTGTGATGAAAAGGAACTTAATTTGATATTAACAACTGGAGGAACAGGGTTTGCACCACGAGATGTCACTCCAGAGGTGAGATAGAATATGCTTTTCTTGTATTCATGTGCTGAGGATATGAAAAACTTGCTGTGGAAAAATTATCTAAAAAAATGTTTCTTGACTTTTTTCTTTGTACTTAAGCTAGAAGTGATAGAATATAAGGAAGAGTGAGCTGATGCAGAAGATACTCCTGCATTTGCTCAGTGGTCTCTGGTTATCAGCTAAAATTCAGGCATATCGTCAAAGGAGGTGATATCAGAACTCTGACTCTTAGCATATCTGGTCTGATGTGCTTTCTTAATATACTTCAGAATGTATCTGATTTCTCTTTTCTTTAGATACACTTGTCACTGGTCTTAAAGCACAGTAAAATGGTTGCAATAGAATATACCAGTATTACAGTTCTTTTAGTGAGAGAAAGTTGTATGTTCTATAATTTTAAATCTGAATTTAATTAAGTCAAAAAGCAGAATTAATATCTAGGCTTTATGCCACAAGAATCACCTCAACCTTTGCACAGGGAGTGAAATTAGGGAAAGAATGAAGAGTAGCCAGTACTCGGTGGTACAGGGGAAAGTCTTTCTTTTTAAGGAAGCCATAAGCCGGGTGTCATTTTCAGAGTTATATATATTGTTTCCTTTACCTCCCCCGAAAAGTGTTTCTTGGCTGAATTTCAAGTTAGTGTTAACTGTGTCCTTCTATTTTCAAACCAGTACACTATCTACTATCTTATTAATAGCAGGATACTTTTGCTCTGCACATATTAAATATTATACTGTCCTTTTCAAATGATCCTGCACCACAAAGTGGGCTTGTTAAAACAGGTTGCTGGGCACCACCCACAGAGTGTCTTATTCAGTAAAATCCTCAGTGGGTGCTGAGATTTTGTATTTTTAACAAAGCTCCAGGTGATGGGGGTGTTACTGGCTCATAGACCCTACTTCCAAACTTTGAGAACCACTGTTTTAGTGTATGAAACTACAAATTTTTAAACAAGTTGTAAATTAATTTCTATTCTATGTAATAGAATTCTGTGTTATTCTATTCATGACACAGAAATTTTTTGGATACTATTATAAGTAGGCTTATAAATAAAATAGTTTTACTTTTAAGTCAATTAGAATAGTGTTGTATGGAGAAATTCTTAACTTCAGCTGTTTAAAAATGAAGTCATCCTTGCATAATTTATTTAGTTTCTGGGCCCTAAGGGTAAATGGTCCTTAGACCAACTTTTACATTTCTTTTAAACTGTGAGACTAAATAAGTACAGTTGGAGGGAAGCCATCCCCTGTAGAGATGTGTTTGTTTTGTTTTGTTTATAAGAAAATTGCCTACATATGTGAAGGCCTTGATTTTTGGAGTTAGGTGTTGTGTTTGAAGTAAATGAAATTAAGTTTATATGTCTCTGTTTTAGTGTGTGATGGTTTGATATTTTCATATTACTTATTTTCACATCAGAAAAGTATAAACAGTTTCCATGAATCCATTTACAACCAGATAATAATATTATTTTTGATTATGGGGAAATAATTTACATCACAAAGTTTAGTATTATTGTATTCTGTGGAGTTTCAATACCAAAATGCTAGGCTGAAAATTCAGATCTTTGAATTCTGGCTATAGACTAAACTGCTTTGTGCCTAAGATTCCTATAAAAGGAGCAAAATAAAAGTACCTATCTACCAGGGTAAATGTGAGGATTCAGTACTAGTGCTATGTAAGGGTTAACTTATAAGGGGTAAAGATTTTTTATTAGTTACTACATAACTACCAAGTGGAGAAATCTGATAGTATTTTTTGTATGTAACTACCAAATGAACAAAAAATCTTATACTAGATTTAAAGTATATCCATGAAATTGTCACAATCCTATTTTAAATTTTTATATAGTAAGCTTTGTATTTTACTTTTTGCATCTCCATATATATAAATCAGGAGTCTTGAATTTCTACCATTCTAATGTCTGTTTATTCTCCCATTCCCTTATTTGGGGACTGTTAGTTAACAAGAGTCTATCCTTTTCTGTGATCTTGAGAAGTTCTTTATTCTTCAGCTACCTGTAAAACTCTGAGGTATTCTTATATTCTTATATTCTTATATACCTATAGCAACCAACTGGGCAAAATTGTATTAGGTTATTTTTTTATGATTTAAAAATATACATTAATATGTATTCTCTGTTTTTGAAACAGGTAATTACCTCATTGTGAATTCTTGATCTTTAATACAATCACTTTATATTTTATATATAAATATATATGGTATGATTATGTACAACAAAAGTCCATTGGACTGTTAAGCCTTTGAAAAAATAAACAAGAAAGCAATATAGGGCCACCCCCAAATAATTCTGCTAATTTCCCATTTCCTCTACACCCATGAATAGTTGCAATTCTTGTAGTATTTAAAACAACACTGAGATGTCCGGAATCCAGAAGTACAATTTTGAGCTTGTAGTAATATAGTTGGTTGTCTTTAAGTTGTTTGTCTTACATAATTATTCCTGAAAAGAGAGGAAACTATTTCTAGACCACATTTACTTATATAAAACTTAGGGTTGCAAATATTTTTAATAGATTCAGAAGTTACTGATAGAAAACACAAATATTAATGATAAATATAAAATAATATAAAACTTCTCCCTTCACGTACCAATATTTTATAGTGAGTAACTTTCAATAATTAGTTTTATCTACAATCAAAAAGGATGATTGATTGTGAGATGTGTGTGTTATTAGGGAAAAATGAAGGCAATAAACCGAATGAAAGAAATAAAGCATTCTAAACTTATCAGTGTGAATGAGCTGTAGAGAAGATGAAAAATTTAATAGACTTAGATTTCTTCCCAGGTCAGTTTAAAAAATAAGGAATAATAAGTTTTAAAAAGTATATCTTATTTACATATTTTATAGGAATTATGCAATCAGTGGATTTTTCCAAGTTATGATTTTTTTCTATTTTTAGGCTTTGTATCTTAGAATATAGTTCATCTGATAGTTCCATGCCTGCTGGCCTGCTCTCCGCCTTTAAACATGAGATATTATCAAAGCTAACATACAGCATAATAATCTATACTCGTCAACTTTTTAGGTTTATTTTCCTATGAAAAGCTTAATTTAAAAAAAAATTAATTGCATTATCTCTGATCTTATAAAAAGGTTGAATAATCTGTTGGCATTAGTGAAATGCTAATTATATAATATTCTGTGGAACATAAGAACTCGTTACCATACAAAGCATTATCTCTTCATGTCCCATTGTCTTATCAACAGGATTTATTTCCAAAATAGGTATTGTTATGTAGTTTTTAATTACTTCTTAAAAGTAAAAGTATAATTAAGGGTATATAAGTGAGGTGAAGTAAAAACCTTTTAGACGTAAATTCTAGAAGAGAATAAAAGATTAAGAAGCATTAAAAGAGCTATATAATTACAAAGAAATATTTACTATGTAATGGTAAATTAGAAAATATTAAGCTACTTAATATTTATAAGGTAAAAATAATTTTCATCACTTGGGTACTATGCTATACCAGAATAAAGGACTGTATACTAATATATTATTTTGATTATGAATTAAATACATTTTAATTCATAAATTATGAATTATAATACATTTTAGTTTTCATACACTCATTCATTCATCAAGTTTGGTATTTTTAATTCTTAATATGTATTTGATGCCATACTGGGTGCTAGAATTAAAAAAATAAGGTGTAGTCCCTATCCTCAAGAAACTCTTAATCTATCACAGGGGTCGGCAGATTATGGCCCATAGGCCAAATCCAGCCTGTCTGTCATCTTTTGTATGACTCGTGAGCCGAGGCATGGTTTTGCATCTTTAAATGACTAGAAGAACTCAAAAGGAAAATAATCTTTTGTGACACATGAAATTATTTGAAATTCAATTTCACTATTCATAGATGAAGTTTTATTGGAACATAGCCACACTAATTCATTTATATATTGCCTGTCGCTACAAAAGCAGAGTTGAGGACTTGCAATTAAAATTCTATATCCTGCAAAGCCTAAAATATTTACCATCTGACTCTTTGCAGAAAAAGTTTGTCAGCCCCTATTCTGTTGGGCAATGGTAATTCATCTTTACGCACATTTGTATTGACTTTTTAAATTGATATTTAATTTACCTTCATTGATTTTTACCTTTGTTTCTACTAATCCGAAATGATGTTGGGTTTCATTGACATCTTGAACTTTAGAGGGAAGTTTAAAAGAAAACATTTTTTTGCCATAATAAAATGTATTGCCCCATTGACTTAATAGACAGTATAGCATAACAAGAATAAAAGATCCCTTATTCTAAATAATGTATAAAATTTTCAATTTTCAAAACTGGTCAAATTAATGGATTTATTATGCAGTGTATAAAATCTCTCAATATATTTTCAAACTGTAGTTCTTAGCAATGCCTCCTCACAGTACCTCCTGATATAAATGGTCATTATAAAATAAACAAAAGGAGGAATAGCAAAAATTTTGGAAAGCTGTAAACTTGATATAAGGGATATTCATTTAGAAAGATGCTTATACTTCATTATGTAAGTGAAGAGGCATCTAAGAAAATGACCAGTGCTGAAAAGGGAAGAATACGCATAGTCTGGTATAGAGGATGAATTTCTAGGGAAAGACTGTGATTTTCAGAAGTCATATTCTGTTTATAGATTATATAATATTTATATCGTACTTTTTGGAACAGATCTAAGCCTGTCCACAAATATTTTTCACTTAGGTTATGAATAATATTTTCTAAAATATCAAATCACAGAAGAAATATTTGTTTTATAAAATCTGTTTTATAATCAATTTGTTGAAATTTATATATTTTATTATTTTACACTAATAAGTGTAAGGTGTGAGTTCATGCAGTCATTAACCATTTTTCTTTCTTATGTTATAACACTTAAAAACACAAACACTGTGTAAGTTAAAGGAAGGAGACATAATTGCCCCGAGTTACTGGCTATATGTTGATTATTATCAGTTGGTGACTCATGAAAATTGACAGTTAACAGC